TGTACAGAATATTTGAAAAAAGGGCAAGAAAGAACGTAACAGATTTTCATTGTTTCAGGCACAACTGTTGGATAATGTAATTACCTAAAGCGTTACAAAAACTTACAATTGCTTCTATTATACGTACTTAAAGACAGTAATGTCATTTAATAAAATGACACGAATGAAATTAAAAATTCCAATTTCCCTATATTTTTAATAGTAGCAAAATTTATTTTATGAAAATTTTTCAACATTTTAGCAGAGAAATTTTTAAAAATATGCTTAACTCTTTTTCTGAAACTGTGAAATGAAATTTTGTTTTCTCGAGCGAAATTAATTTTTCTTGAAAATTAATTCCACTTACTTTTAATCGATCGTGGTTGGCTACACAAATTACTCGTTCATGAACTGTTAAATGACCGAAATATATAGTACCCGAGAAGACTACTACCGAAGTTTCTACAACATTAGAGTTTAGAGAAACACGCGAGCTATTTCTTGTTCAATTATTGCAGCTGACATTAAACAGACAATTAAACAGATAGAACATCAGTGTTTACTGAGTTTGAGAAGGTCCTCTGATCACTCTATATAATTGTATCGACAGTAATAAAATGAAAATGATGGACGACAAAAACAATTCTTTTTCAATAGAGCATTTTAGTAGAGCTTAACAATTCCATGTAAAAATTACATGAATGACTATATCCTGACTAATTGTGCGTATATTAAGTGTTTCAAAGTATGCGAAATTATACCAAAGAAAAAAGAAGAAAAAAAGGAAAATCATTGTCACGCGACAAAAGAACAAAGAGGTAACAAATGCCCGTCTAAATGAAAGGAACACGTGTGACGTATGCAATTAACCCGGAAAATAATTCTTCTCTAACTTTCTTCCCGCACCCTTCCTAACTTAATGAAGTTTCCGTGTTTAATTAACTTTAAGAACCATTTTTAATTACAAGACTATTTCGTACAATCCATTATGTTGCGTATCTATTCCTCATATAAATTTGAATTGACTAAAAAAGAACACCTTAAAGATTCTTTTTATTGTAAAACTTATTAAATCGTTTCATAAATAGTATCGCCATTTCAATTCCAACAGTGATAATTTTTGATATATCAATTATATAACATTTTGATTATTTTTCTTTCCTTATTTAAAAGAAATATTATTCTTTATCACAATGTGAGCCATTAGAAATTATATGACTTCGAAAATATCCACAATCATATAGAAAGTTACAATTTTTATAAATCGTACTTTTTATTACCTTTAAAAAATTTCAAATTTTTTCAAATTTTTCAGTTGCCAAATTTTCTTTGTGGGTTAACGACTAGCTCAGGATCAAGGGGAAGTCTAAAGGAGGCTACAACCCCGGGCCTCACTTTCCAAGAGCCCCCTTTCTAAACCTCCCCTTCTAAGGAATGAAATTTCTTTTTTACTGTTCCTCTTTTTCTTTGTGATTAAATCACATTTTATTTCAAATAAATTGCAATTTTTTAACCAAGTTTATCAATTAAAAGGTCTCTCAAAAGTTTGGTGCCCCCGTCACAGAAATTTTAACCCGGTCCTTATAACGACATTATCTATAGGATGAATAATTCATTATTCTGAAACGGTACATTTGTTAAGAAATTGTAGAACTAAAATTACTTATCGAAAAAGGGTATAATTTAACAGTGTTCGTTAGACAAAAAGAATCTATTGTAATCAGACTGGTCTCACCGTCGTTGCTGTACCTTTCTCTGGCTTTCATTTTCTTTCTTACAATTCCTGGCTATGGTATTGCTTATTCTATTGTTCCTTTTCCAGCGTCGAGCAACGTACACGTAAAAGGACAATCAGCTTATGCATTTTTCCTTTATGGAAAATTAAAAAATGCAAACAACCTTCGGTTTGCCTATCAATTATTACGAATTTCACACGTATATTCAAATTAAACGCAAAGCCTTTCTGTTTCGCCCGTTCAAAAATTCATTTCGGCAAGTGAGACTTTATAGGGGATGAAAAAGAAGGATTGAAATTACAGAGAAAACGCAATATTCGTGATGAAGAAAAATATGAATGGAACCATGGATTATAACTACAAAAATGGAAAAAGACAATAAATTTTTATTTTTCAAGATAATACCAATCGGAAAGGCTACAATGCTTTTTTTTAGAAACTTGTTTGCGTTTAAGAGAATTAATGTACTAATTAACTAATAATAATAGACACAATATATAACATGACGACAGATGCCTCAAACAATTGTTATAGAAGACACGCTCGCTACTTATTAAACCTGGAGGGTCTTTTATACCCGCTTAAACTGTGGCTACACGTGCGTGCAGCAATTAGTGCAAAATACGTTCTTGCCACGTGGAACATTCTGCCCTGAGGATCCAAAGACGTATTCGCATGTGTAATTAACTGGTTATACTATGTTTATGTATATACGGGGTGTCTTTGAAAAATACATTAGGGAATGGAGCGTAAAATCGAATTTATATGCTTATACAATTTGCATAAACTGAAACAATTAAACATAAATTTGGTCAAATAATAATTAGAACTAACAATCCCGTTTACTAATATTATAACAATTTATTATAAACTACTATTTACAGCCACATAATGGAAAAAGAAGAATTAATAAGAGATTTTTTTTAATAATCCTACTTTAAGCTATTCAAGAGATATTAAAATATTGGATAAACTATCAGACAGTCGAAAAATTGAATTTTATAGAGTAACCTTTATAATTACAAGAGTAAGTAAATGGTAGTATAAGTCATCGTATAAGAAAAATTCATCTTAACTTGTATTTCACTTTTCGCGTCCGAAGTCATTTTGAACTGTCCCTGTTAAAAATTGTAATTTGTTCGTGTTTACTCTACGAGAATAAACTAGGTAGTAAAGTTTCAGAAAGTGGCAGGAAAATTTGCATAGCTTTCGAGTGTGATACTCTAAATAAATGAACGGTACAAAAGTAGTTTAAACAATTTGAAAGTAGAGATGAACTTCTTAATAAACCTCTGGTTAATCTTTAAGAAAGATCGACCAGGCGCACTGGATAATGATAAATTAAAGAATACTGTTGAAGCGGATTGAGAAGAATAATGTAAAATCCTTAGTGAAAGATTCAATGTACCTGAAGAAATTGTACTTTATATTTTCTAGTTGAAATTCAGGTTGAAATATGAATGTATAAATGACAATGTCAAATTTTCAATTTTAATATCAACAAAAATCTCACATTTTATATTGGTAATAAAACTTAAATTACATTTATTATGTATCAATTATAAAAGCATTGATACTTATTTTTACTGTTTGAGATAAAGGTGATGAATCTAATTACTTATTTGTGAAACTGGAAATAAGGGTCAATCGTGACCAAACTTTCTACAATTCTAAAATTTAATATTTTAATATTCTAAAATTCTATGTACCTAGCTAATCCTAGAAAAAATTCTAATTAAAATTTACAAAATGCATCCAAAGGCGCTCTCACTAAAGTTGGGCATTCGAATTTGTAAACGAACAAAAAGAATATAAAAATATAACTAAAAATTTACAAAATAAAATGAAAACGAGTCTAAAATTAAATTTAAACAATCTCTGCCTCAGCAATCCGTCATCCAAGGATTAAAAAAGTACATCTATGTACATAAGCTCTTTATCCTTAACTTCTTTAACTTACGTCGATTGTGTAAACGTTTACATTTAATACAGATACTTTTAAATAAAAATTGCAAGCTCTTCTGTTCCTGGTACAGAATCAATTCTGTTCAGATATTCACGCGATCGCGGGGGGAACAAAAAAGAAATAGCTGAGCGTAGGAAAACAGTACTCAAACATTTAAGCACTCGGCTGCCACGTTCTCAAACAGCATAGGAAATTTTGAGCATTCATTAAAATATATAGCATGATGAAGATGTTTATTTTGTTACTACTATTCGTTCTTCTTGAGCCTCCACTTTAATCATTTACTCGTGAAATATTCACTCCGAAACCCATCTTTGGTTGAATGTATATTGATGTTACTTTTTTCGCAGTGAACAAAAAATAAATTATGTTTAAAAAAAAAATACTTTCAATGCTCTTCATTAACAGAATTTCATAAAAAAAGATGAAGTTAACATTCAAATCTCATTGACAAAAAACAAATATTTTTTCCATATCATTACGGAAAAAAAAATTTATATTATTCCAGGTGGTCTCGGGTTTTACACTTTCAATTTTCATTTTTATTCGTGAAACAATTAAAAAGCGAATATTTTCAATCATTCCGAGACTATCAGGTAAAAAGTAATTATTTAATCAAGTCGATCGTTATCGACATTCCACGTTCTATTTCACAGAATATACTTTTGAATCGCCATAACGCGTTGATTGCAAACGATAATTTCATGCCGGTTCCCTGCACCGCGCATGTTTAAATATTACATAGGGGAACGCATTGAAGAGAAGTATAGAAACGAACGTTTATTTTCATTTAATCTTTCAGTAATATATTCTTGTCAGATAACCGACGGTTCAATTGTCAATTATCATATTGCTGCGGCACGTGAAATATTTCCCAAAATTATCGTTCGTGTAACTGACGCAATCGAATAACGGGTGTACAATAAAGTGGTTGCAGAATTGGATAGTGATTTATCCGATTCATCTTCGTTGGCTCGGTCAAATCAAATAACACGTTGGATAACAATTATACCGGTAATTGTGTAAATAGCCGATCCAATTGAAAGCCTACGCTCATGGTTTGTTACAAGTAGCGAGTATCAATCGATTAAAATTTTTAATTTGATTAATTGATTAATACTTACGATTAAAAAGAAAATTCATCGTAACGAATCACGGTTGATTTAATTGATTGATGAAATTAGTCGATAATTATAAACATTAATCGTTCAATTTAAAATATTAATTATCAATCAGTACTTTTTAGTGGAAATGTAATTAAAATTTTATTTGTAATTAAATTAAATTTTACACACTTTTAAATAAGTACACTCTTTTAGGGAATAAGAAGAAATCAGGTTTCAGAATTATAATAATGAATTTTAAGTAAATTAATTAAAAGAGATAAAGCTATTGTCAATAAGCAAGGAAAAGTGAAACGACATATCTGTGCAGTGGCAGTCTTCAGAAATTTCTTGATCAACCAAATTGAATTTGACGTAGCCAGAGAAGCTAGCCAGAAGGAAATCCATTGGCTATCCCTAGGGGCTATTTCAAATCTAAAATATCGGATTGAATCATCCGTGATCGTCAGAAAAGGAAAAAGAAAAAAATAAGAGACAAGAAAGCTGTTGGACAAAAAGCCACGTACGTATAGAACGATTGAATTCTTCCAATGTTGCGGATAACTCAAAAATCTCAGGATATTTATTGAACATATCATAAATCCAGGAAAGATTTTGAAATATCTAGCACGTTGACTGTGACGCCACACATACATACATACTATGTAGGCGATACTTGAATTTCTATAAAAATCCACCAACTTTATTTTCAGGAATTCTTATACTTATCTAAATGAAATATTCGTATTGGGCATTTTGAATTTTGAACAATATAAATAATTAAATAATTAAATAATAAACAATAAACAAAGCTATCCATATTTTTACACGAATATTCAATCATAGTATATAGATGGACAAATATGATAGTATGACCCTAAAACAACCTTGGACTTTAAAGTTTCTAATCAAATGTGAAACTTTCTCTAATAGGGTGTCCCTGATTTTCCAAATCGTTGGATTGGACATAACGAGTCTGCATTATGGGTCACTCTGTTCACCGCATCTCACCCCCCTGCATTTCTTTCTATGGGGGACATTGAAACAAAAGGTTTATGAAGAATAAGTGAGAAAAAAAAAATATGAAAAAGTATGACAAGACAAAATCAAATGATGTCATATGCTCTATGTTTCTGCATTACGTTCTTATTAATTGATATTTTTAGATGACATCTCGTCTATGATACATCATAAAGAATGTTAGAAATGCGATAAAGTATTCAAGAAATTTAAAGAAAAATATCAATGTGATTTCGAAGTACGGTTAACTCGAATATCGATTAACAATCTAAAGGAATAATCCTGGCCACAAATTAATAACACAGCAGGCTTGTTTTGACAACGAATTGTGTTAGAGAATTCGATCGCGTGCAAAGGTCTCTTAACCTGGGATCAATATCACTGCTGGGTGCTACGAACTTGCAGATATTCAAATCTTACTGGGCCTTACTTCGCATTATCCTTGCGAAATTACAATCAGCACATTGCGAACTTGTATATAACTACCCTTCAGAGGAAAATTTGTGTCTCTTTGACAACGAAACGTACATACAAGCGAATGAATTGATTTATAAAATACCTAAAGTCTAAATTAGGTAATTCATATGAAAATCCGCAAATCTTAAGATCACAAGTTCGTGATTATAATAACCCACTTTCCTTGTTATTTGAAATAACACAAATTCACGAACCATATTTTTGTTTCTCTTAGTTACATGCTAACTTCAGCCAAAATCGCAGGTAAATAATTAAGGTGTTTGTTTACTAAATTTTACCATTGAATCCTAACACATCTTGTTCCTGATTTAATTTTAAATTTTATTCCTAAAATTATTTTCTACCTTTTATTTTTTCATTATTTTAAGACTTTGTAGGCTGGAAAACAAATGAATCTTTCATGTTGCCAGCATCTCCTTTGATACCTTCAACCACGGTATTCGGATGAAATTTCACCCAAAGGACATTCACGCTACTTTTTAATTTATTACATTCACATTATATTCAGATTAACACTTTACGCGGTCGCGGTTACATATTCGTCATTTTGACTTTTCACACCATTATTTTTTTCTCTACCTGTGTCTACTCTATCAGATGCAAATTACTTTTCAAAAATTAGTAATTTATCAGCATAGTTCTTCATAATTTTTGTTTAATAATATTCTATTAGATATAACAAGAATCATAAAATTACAAAAACCAATGTACCAATATCGTTAATTTAAAAATTAAAAATTTTCAATTATTAATTTTCAAAATAATAATTTTCTAATGTATTCTTTCAATTATACTTAATTTGTGGTATCGGCCACAATGATCTATTGAAGCAAATGAGGTTGATAAATTAAAAATTATATAATTCAGTTAATTTTCAGCTGAAGATCATTTGTGGGTTGAAAGGAAACGACTAAATAAATAGTTACAGTTGAAAACATCTTGTTGAAAAGAGCATAATTTCAGTGAACACCAATAGACAGATGTTCGGTTTGCGAGTATCATCCACATCCCCTTTGCTCATAAAATTGATCAAATTCTGAGATACAGTGTACCAGCAAAACGCTTTGAATCCAATAAAGAGGATTAAGTGTACTGAGCTGTAAACACGGTGTGATTGAATTCTAAGAGTGACGAGGGAACGTTCTCTATCTCTTTTCTTTGTCTCGTTTCTTTCAGCTTGTTTCCGACCAATGTTCCTTGTGATTTTGTTTCACGGTTCCAGTGTGTCCGTATCTTTTAATTTCACGGTGTAAAACAACGTATGACGTCGTAAAAACGCGGGATCGTTTCCTTTTTATTACCCAAGAGAGATATCATTCTTATAAGTTAATTAGATTCCATAATGATTAGAGACCATTACCGATAATAATTACGTTAACAATTGGCACAAAGGAAACTGAATATGTTTCACAATTTAACCAACTTTTCGCTATATAATGGAATCTCAAAATCATATTCCAATTTTCAATGGAATCCGTTCCTGTTCGTGTCATAAATTTACAATTCCATACTTTTTTTACTAATTGTAATTGTGCATACCTATGAAAATTTTTGTTATATTTTTTTCTCTACCAGCAAAGATATTTAGAAAACGTTAATTTATTTATTAATTAAATGTATTCAGTGATTCCGAATAATTGACCTCATCAGTTAATTTCGCACTGAATTAATCGAACTTTATAAATGATTTACTAAACCCTTGATGATATTAAATTTCAATGGCATTCCTGTGATTTCGAAGCAAAACATTTTATTCCACATTTTAATTAAAATATTATAGGAATATTTTCTTTCTAATCTGCCCACGAGCTTTGGATGAAAATTCATCCATTGTCTATTTTTAAGCGCTGTACAGCTTTTCATTTTTTCTTATGTACGGGCACGTAATGTATTCCATAATTTTATGTATTCTTTTAAAGTGGAAAATTATGGTGAAAATCATAAACATTCTACTGGAAACAAAATTAGCAAAAAAGTAACGTGATCATCCTTCGGGTGAAATTTCAACCAAGTACCGCACGCTCTAATAAAAATATCTATATTGTACACTCTTGTTGGAAAAACAAAACATGCTAATTTACTTTTATTTACACACCTGTTAAACTAACTTATTTAAAATTTCAGATTATACAAATTTTTTATAGGGAAGGTATAATAAAAATGCCTACACTTTATTAGGATACATGTATGTATTATGTACGCATACCCCTTGAGGAACCTTAAAATCTTTAGGGGTCCTACCGTGAAAACTCAACAATTTTTAAGTTAGATATATGTAAAATTTATAATTGCAAAATATTCTTTCATTTTATTTTCATTATAATATTATAACTATAGGTTTAGCAATCTATACAAGGAGTACACCAGTTTATATGTTACGTTTCCAGGAGGTAAGCGAAGCACGAAAGATTGAGCAACGCTTCTTTAAAGTATACAAAATAATTTGATAAAAGAATTTTTCATTTCAGCCCGGATTAAAAATGAAACAAGGAACGGCTGCATTCTTATATGTTTGCAAATTTTCGTAACTTCCCCGCCATTTCTATGGTACGCAATCATCAGACTCAGATTTGTTGTAATACACGAGACTATACTGCGTAAGATCTTTTCTGTTTTGTTTAGCATCAAAAAGGAAACAAGGGATAAACGAGGAAACTTGTGAGTTACAATCACGAGGAGACGCTTGCATATACGCATACTTTCCCCAACTTTCCCCTCACTTTCGAGACATGTCGCTACTTTGAAAGAAAACTGGTACAAATTAAAAAATATCACTTTAGAAAATCTGTCTTTTAAAAATTTGATTACTCTATGCGTTTTCTCAAAAAATGTTAAAATTTTTAGCAACATTTAATTGCTTAAAATCACCCTTGTAATATTTAGAATTATTCTACTATTTTTATTTCTTAATTATTTGATCGAATTAAATTGTTGTGTCAGTCACCGGTGACCGTCCTGCTGGTTAACGAGTTAAGATCCCTTTGTTGCGTTTAATACGCTGACTGGCGCAGTAGAAATGGACACGTGTGGTCAGACATACTGAAACTGATTACAGTAGGTGCGAAGAGTTAATTTGCTAAACTAAATCTTCCAATTTGCTACCTTATATTGTTAGTATAATAGTGATTTTATTGAAGATTTGTTTTCCAATTTTGTAATATAATTAGTCGATTATATTATTGTACATTTGAATCGATCATTAACTCATCGTTAGCGCTAATCAACGTGTTAATGTTAGCTAATTGCTAAGTAATTTCTATTCTGTGTTTAAATTTTAATTCATAAACGAATGAAGATGAATCTGTCGTAATAAAAATTGACGTGTGCAGCAAACCATGTGGCAATATTATTTATTAAAACGTTAATTTAAAAAATTGGAAAGACTGTATCTACACTATAATAGAGGTTATTAAGAATATTAAGATTTGTTTGATTCAATGCTTTCATTTATTATCTTGAATTACTAGTGCAATTTTAATAATACTCAGAATTCTCTGCCACATTGGTCATCGATAGGTACTACGAATTTAATTTGCTTAACCCTTGAACGGCGGACCATTGAGACAGCCCCAATTTTAATTTAATTTTGCATTTCATATTATTTTCATTCTCTAAATTTTACACTGTTCCTTTAAAATTTATTCTTTTAGCATATGAAGCTCTTCCATCTAAAAATTATCCATGTAACATTATGTTAGGTTAGGTTAATATTCTTGTACATGTTTTATAAATTGAGTCGCGATTGATCCAGGCTCTGCTGTTCGAGAGTTAAATAATTGAGATATTTAAACAATTCATTAAAATTACCGTAACAGTGTAAAGTAGCAAACTGAATTATTGCATTAAAAAATTAAGTTTTAATATCTTCCATAATCCATTAATCATAAGTCTAACTATATTAAATATGGCTATTTTTATTGTGGCGAATAATGTATTGGATTTAAGTAACATTATTCAAAGTTTGTGTATCTTTTATTTTTCTAAATAACTAAATTACCATTATGTCCCTAATATAGTGTTCGATTACAAATGTTCGTTTTCGTTATTGCAATCAACGTGTTAGGAATAAAATTGTTGATAATTGTTGATAATTGTTGATAATCGTAATGCTCTTTAAAATGACTTACTTCTTTTTCATTTCAATCAATTATGCCTTCATTTAAAACTATCTCTCAATAAAATTATGAATAAACGAATGAAAAGAAAGAATAAACATGTTTGGTTTTCATTTCCACTACGTAATGAAACATTTTTCAACTTTTTTGTTTGGATTCACGAACTCATCGCAACAGCCGTGTTTACCTTTTCGAGAAATGTGCCGGTCTATGAGTTAAGACGCTGTTTGGTTTGCTTCGAAGAATGTGTTTCAGTAACTACGACGTCAAATACTAAATAAGCATTAATAAATGAACTGTTTAATGATGCCCGTAAAAAATTACTTGATATCCAAGTTAATTAATTTTCATTTATAAATATTGCAGAATTATTCTATCCATTTATACCACGACAGTTAAATAGGTTATATACGTATATTAGGTAAAACAATATTAGCAATTCATTATAAAAATTACTGCACTTTATAGATAAAGTGATTTTGCTATAATGTATTAGATACTAGTTCATTTTGTAATTTCAAAAATTTTGTAACTTTGTCAGCTATGAAATTTTGATTCGTAGTAGTTACTGTCACAAAACTGTCAAAAGTATGAAGCATGAATAGTATCCGACAGCAAACCCGATGGTTGATGAATTAAAAAAAGGGAAAAGAAAACTCGTATAAATGTTTGCGTACTCACCGACTAATTCTGGACGTACGCCAACTAACAAAGTAGTCACTACCAGAAGAGGCACTTGTCGTTTACGCGTGCACATACCACGTTTCTCGCACATGACTCACCATCGACGCAGACAACGCTTGCCGCGTCCAGACTGAAGTTCCGAGTTCGCGAGGTATCCTGTATATCCTACGCGCACGAGGATCCCCCCTCTTTCCACCCTCTTGCCGGTTCGTTCTGACTCAACGCAGAGTGCTCGCGACACGGAGCGCCTGTCCACCCCCTCCCCACTCCGCCGCCTCATCCCCACCCGAAAGCATACTCGAAGAGACTGCTGTCAATCAGCTCCCGTCCTACGCAATACCGCACGCGTCACTTTTGCAAATCACGTATATCTAATTTTCTTTACTTTCCATACCGAGGAAACGTGCAGGATGTTTGGGACAAAATAGTTCAAGATTTTGTACGGCAAACACTAACCCGAACAAAGGGTAAACAAGGTACTCGATGAACGTACAAGCGTAGACTTATACTACTTGTTGGACACATAATCGATATCTGCCGAAATATTAAAGAAAGTCCCGTTCTAACATTCCTCGAAGCAACTTCTAATGGTTGTCGAGTTATAACCTCCTTGAGTTATGGCGCGTGTGAACCCATATAGCAAGTGTGAACTTCTGGTTCTAGTTGCACGGTCCTTCTATTGGAGACACGAAAGTTACTTGCTACCCAATTAGAATTAAGGAACGCCTTCCATTAGGAAAAGCCACTACGTTGGTGGTCGGTATGACCTACAGCACTGTTAACCGGCACTTCGCTCATGATACGTCAATCACAATTGAGTCTGGCAAACTAAATTCAAGAAAATTTCATTACAATTTATGTACCTAGCTGACTCTGTTCAGAAAACAAGCTGTTAAGCACGATCGTCCTTCTCGAAGGTCCTTAAAGAAAATGAAGAATCTTACGAGTGTACCAATTTCCAGTTTTCAAAAACTGCGGACTTAATAACTCGAGACGACTATTACAGCAGCATAAAAGGTGTTCTGGTGTAGCTGATCATCAAGGTTGTTCTACACGCGGTAGACAACTATTTGAAGATGGGCAAGAACATGTCCTGAACGACCTCCTTCCACATACGGTTGCAGTATCTCCAGCAAAATGGGAGCCTTGCCAGCTGTTGAACGTCCAGTTGGAGATTGCCATCAGCAGTAAAGATAAGTCACAAATTTCGTACCTCAAAAATTATAAGTACAATGCTTTTGAGCTTGCACGTAGCTTCGTTACTACCATCATAGAAGATGCGCTAAAACAAAGCTCTGTGACCACTCATAATACATCGTCCCTAAGATAATCCACTCGAAGTGGGTTGAACTTTACCAAAGTATATTTTGAATGATCATTACCTAAGAATGTATGCGAAAGTTTACCCTAAACAACGCAACAATGATAGAAGTGCAGCATTAGCTAAGACTAGCACTATAATACATGAACTAATCACAGAGACAGACACTGCATACCTGCGAGTAAGCACACTCTAGCCTCGATGTCATTCAAGTGACACTTACGAACCTAGGTAATCTCATTCGTGCATCCTCCATTCGAATCCACAAGCTTGAATCACAAATACAATGTCTACTCTAGATTCATCTATAGAGACCGTGGCTCGTGCACTGTTGCCTGCTGTACGAGAAGGTATTCAAATGTTCTTCACTTACGAGCAAACCCGCCCCTGACTATAGCACCTAATTCTCGTGATCACGATTGCAGACATAGACTTTGATAATCCTTCCGATGACGGTAATAAGTAGCATCTTGCCTTATCTGAGACATTTGCGAATGGAGCGAATGCAGGTGTAAATATGATACTGCCTTGTTAGCTGACAACAAGTGAACCTACAATGGGTAAGGAATTGAAGATAAAGGAGCATCAGGATTTAGCCTCCGGTGTCGAACTCTTCGCTATGCTAGTTGCGTTCATCCTGTATGATTCCTTTTTATCAGACTTGATGTTTTATCAGTTGAAGTCTTTGTCACTGAAGGTGACACTGTGACCTTCTTCGAATCAGACCTATCTGGGGATCCGAATAAAGTACTACTTTACTCATAAAGGGAGGCGTGATGAAAAGAAAACAACTCAATGAATAGAATGATGAAGAGGAAAGAGATAATTACTATTCCGTCGTAACACGTATACTCAAGTATCAAAGATGCGGAACCAATCGTTATGCAACAATTCTTAACTCCTTAACGTAGCTGTTGAACGAAAAAGGCAACAACTAGGAGAAGATCGCACGGTGTCAATGAATAATAGACACTGAAAATAAATTTAGAAGAGAGCAATTCCAATTACAGTGCATTGTTACCTTTCACATTGTGGTAAATTGGATCCGTACAACCTCCATTACTAAACACCTGATACTACCTTATCATTCGACTACCAGGACACCGCTGTCCGGCAGTAAGCTATACTCGCGCCAAAATTTTCATTCCCGGAGGGCAGCAGAAATCATTGTTATGGCGGGTGTGATACAAAAATAATGGGAAAAGTACTACTAGAACAGTCGAGCCTACTGATTAAGCTATGTCAGTAAGGAAATGATCCGGTATTACACCTTATGGTCTCCGCAGGCGCCAAGACAGCGAGGCGGCTAATAAGCAAGGTGGGATGCGGTAACCAGCTGTGCAGGAGGGTCTGACCACATGTCTTCGCATACCACTTGTTATACACAGCCGGACGCTCCTCATCTCACAATCAGCTCTAAGCCTGACATCTGAAAAAACTCACTTTTCACTCCCTTTGATTCTATTTTTTTTTTAAATCAGTCAAAAACAGCACAAAACTGAACAATTATTATTGTAATTGTTTGACAAATTTCTATTCACTTTATGCACTTTGGTAAATAAATCATTTGAAAAAAGCAACTGAGTTATTATTTAACAAGATCGAAAAATTATTAGAATAATTATTTGACAAACTTATATTTTGAAAAAACCACCTAGAATAAGTATTTTTTAAGTTCGACCACTGCGCCATCTATATAAAAGCAGCGGAAACTATTCAATAAATTACCAACTTATCGACTGAACTTCTGACAGTCGGTAAGTTAACGAATAGTTTGCGCCGCTTTTATATAGATGGCGAAGTGGCCGATGGCTGGGGTACTAGAGACCCCGAAGCATCGGTGATGCTCTTTGCATAATGACATTGTGGCATCCGGGGTGTCAAGGACCCCCAAGCCAAAATATGCGACGTTGTAATTACCACGTTGCGACTGCAAGTCATAGATCTACGATCATTGTCAGTCAAGCGAACCGTAGATCCTGACGACGTACTGGCCTCAATGTATTAAAATCCTCACGAATGCAAAAGATGAACCTAAAACTCTTTAATATTTGTAATATGTGTATTTTCTGTATACAGTTATCATTTATACAATTTAATTCTTATATTATACAAATTCGTGTATAGGTATATGTATGTATATCTTCATTTAGAAATCATCGATGTTTAAACATGATATTTTCGATCATCATCTTTAGCCTTTCCTTTTTTAACAAACATATGTTACACGATATTATATGTCGAATATTACAACAAATACTAAATTTAATTATCCAGGAAGGAAGAAGATAATGTTGTTGAATATGTATTTCAACATTAAGTTTGTCGGTTCAAATTATACAGATTGTATTATAATATCGAAAAATTATGTTCTGAAAAGTACTACTGATAACTAGGACTATATTGACATCTAAATAAAATTTTTCTAGCTGTTTTTTTAGTTAGAATGAAGAAAAAATCTTTTACATTGAACTGTAAACATCGGTTAACACGTTGACTGTCGCTATGAATTAAAATAAAATTGTAACTAATGCTATTAAAATCACATTAGTAATTCGAAATAACAGATTTGGATTTTTAACCCTTTCAACCTTACATACTAATCACTTTTCTGATATGTACATCATTTATTGTATATTAAACTAGTTCAAATCGAGATTTAGAAACTTTGTAAATAATTTTATAAGTGAAAATTTATGTAGACTGTACGAAAATTTGTATATTCGTATAGTGCACTAAAGTTAAGTGAAAAGGATTTGAAAAACGGAAGAAATTACCAGAGGGCTTGATACATGATACCCTTATTTCTTCAAAGAAAATGTTTCATTCCTTTCCACAAATATTGTATTAAAAGTCACTATATTAAATGTATACTATACTCACCATTGTATTATTGTCAACGCCTAATTTACGTAAATGGTGCATCCCATCTGAATAAATATGTAAATATTTATAGTGAATATTAATTATAGTAGGAGTATATACAACAGTTGAACAAAATGAAAAAAAATTCTTTTAACACGTTGAATCTGAATAAAAACTTGCAATTTTTCGTTTTAGTTTGTTAATTTACAATATAAATCACTTTTCTGTAATTTTGACTTTGACGGTATTTGATATGGCACGCGCCTAAGGTACGATTGCGGAGCCAAGGACGCGCGGCCGGAGAAAGAGGGTGCAATTTCTGAAAATCGGCCGAAAAGAGCACTTAATTCCTAAGCCTGATCTATGTTATCATGTCTATATCTACTGTGTCAGTCAACGTGTTAACAAGAGTTAAAAGAATCATGAACTAAAGTAGCAATAGTTTCTTCTTTTAATACCCCTCTCCTACATACAGGATTATCTCTTGCTGCTGACCTACTACAATAATGATACGTATTGTCTGTTTTGCAACTGGATCCAAGTTATCTTTTCTTTACTGTCTAGGATTAAACATTAGACTGTCGTGTAACGTCATGGCGAAACGTTCTCGAAAATCATGGCTTCGAGCAGACTTCATTTTATTAGTAATCATTAAATACGGATTAACACGGCTCAATGTCGAGCATTTGGTGTGCATCTTAACACGTGCATTAATTATGCCGTTAATTATATACTTGGAGAATTACAGCTTCGTATAATATCGTAACTATATGTGTACATGTATATAGATATATCTTCTATACATTATATAATTCATTTTCATATGTATATATGTATATATATATATATAACTCTGGGTACAAATAATGTTTACAAAAATATTAATTTGGGAAGGCAAACGTTCAATTATAAATCACTTACTCTTGGATACTCACGAATGCAACAATAACGACTGATTTATCTACAATACCAAACGCAGAAGGAAATTCGTCTTCCTTAAATTCAAAACAATTTACGATTCGAAGCACTTTTTTTTGGAAAAATCTCGAAAAATTCTTGGCGAAATGTTTCTCTTCATACATTGAAACAAGGAAAAACTTCCGAGACTTTCTTATCTTTGGCTCGTTTACAGATCTCTATTTATCTAACGTCGATGAAACTTATTTATTGAAGTTCGCTTGATTCGTCCATTCCTGATTCAAGTTTGTGCACATTTCGTAAAGGATCAAGGTTCAAAGGAATCTCTCGTGTACTATAAACCCAGTAATTTCCATCGATAAATATGTAATTTCAGTTGCTCGAGCGATAATCCAATCACTGTCCGCAGTTATCTGAAAAATGTTCTAAAAATATTCGAATCTGATTTTCTCGAAAATAATGCCGCATAAAATAATTTTTTATTCTACAATCTTGCATTTATTTTGTAAATGGATTGATACGCTAAAAAGTTCAATCAGTATTTTAACCCCCGGGCAACGGACCAGGGAAGGAGCCCCAATTTTATTTTCATTATATAAATTTTACACTGTTCCTCTAAAAATTATTCTTAAATTATTCATAAATTTTCGCTAAGAAAAATCATAAAATTTTGAATTCGGAAATACAGATATGATTATTGCTCGATCAATGGGATAATTATAAACGAATATCTTCGTTCGTTGCCGGTGAAACCAGATAGACTTTTCGAAATGTATACTCGCTTTCTTTTTACAAATTACACAGAAATATTATTAAAACACTCCCAGAATCTTCTCGTTCCGACGAGTGATTCCTTAACAGCTGCCTGCAGAACATACAGACGAGATTGAACGTTAATCTCGATAAGAAACACGGTTGAATCGTAGTTTCTTTATTTTCGCAACGTCCGCCTGACGCACTCGTTCCCTTGAACTTCGTACAATAAATTACTAATTGTTATCGTACACTACTTACACGTTAATCTTACAGGTTAAACTTTTTGGTGAATTCCGACGGTAGAAGGTCTCGCGTTAAATGGTTCACCACAGCGTGGAAAACTGACGAAGAGGAAGACTTTAATGGCGCTTGTTATTAACGCCTCTTATCGTCGATGTGTGAACGTTAAATCGCATTTATATTAACATTTTAATGGCCACGTCACTTATTTCGTGAGTTTATAAACAATCAATCGTTGAAGTTCAAATTATTTCTTTCAGCCATCTACGTTGCTACTTAACTACATACCTGATAGTTTTAATCCCTTTGATTGGGACTAGAGTACAGTATGTCACTATAGTTAAGTAAGTTCAATGTAAAAGATTTAGTTCAATAAAATAAAGAGATAAATAAATTGAAAATGCAGAAAAACTGCATCCATAGATTGTATTTGGAAACATTTTCTGTTTTCATTTACTCGACTCCATTTTAACACACTATTTTTGTAAAGGAAGGCTTAAGCTGTAGATTGGTCTTTTTGAACACGACTAAAAGTAAAACATGAGGCCGTTAAATTGTTAAAAGTTCGATTCAGTGCTTTGGTAAAATGTGATCTGTGGTTCGATACGCGTTGTAACAAAGTTACCGCTTATTGTGTTTCACACTCTTTCCACATAATTTCCGGGGAAGGTGCCGAAGTATCCGGTCCTCTGACTAGAACCGACATACCAACCGTCATCGCATTTCTCCATCACGTATACAGTGTCGCCTTCTTTTAGCTCGAGCTCGTCCTCGTTTTGGGGTCTATAATTGTATAGAGCCCGGTATCTGAAGTAAATTCGAAAACGTTAATTAACAAGTAAATACGTTTCATCGATATTTCCTTTTTGCCATTCTGCAGTCCTTAGGAAAATCTTGCGAGGATGAGGATTCCATGTTATTAAAAATCGAATCTCCTTCAGCTGAATTATTATTATAGAGAGACAAATATTCGAATACCGGAATTCTTAAATAAGCAAAAAATCACTAACTTAATACTAAACTTCGTCTATGCAAATTATTCTTTTAAAAACAGTAAAAGTGAAAAAAAAGTAATCAGGAAAAATTAAATAGCGTCGGATTAAAAAATGTCATTAAAATGTTAATTAATATGAAAATCAAACTAAACTTACGGTATTGGGTCGGATTGGGTATCGATATGCAACGCTTCGTTGAGTTGAGATACATGCAACTTGCTTCCTCCCATTCGTGGCTACAAATTATACAAATTAGGTAATTTTTTGGAATAAAGAAGAAAAAAGTGGTTGTGAATAAAACCAACCAGTGAATTGTAGTGTGGCTGAGTTGTGTTCATATTAACTGGTATTGATGGCATGTAATGATGGGGTCCCATACTCAATTTCCCTCCAGCCGATCCATTTACCAAGAGACTGTGTGCTGCTGGAGCGGCAACTGGTTTGCTTTGCGTTGGCGTTTCTGGAGTTAATATAAACTTGCATTATTTATCAAAAATCAAAAATATAAAGTACATAGTTGATAAAGTATAGCATAATTTTAAAAAACTAATACAAAATTTTGTAAAGTATCAACAATTAATTTTGCAAATTTACTATATAACAATCATCGGGAATAAGCAAATATTTGTTTTCATAATTTATTAGAAAAATTGGATTGAATTTCAGAGTACAGATAGGATACCTGATCTATGTCCAGGTTCTGTAATAACTTCGACATATGAGATGGGAAATATCCCCTTTCTGTTTCCAATGCGTCCCTCGTACCAATTTTCATCGACCCTTCTCGTCAAAACAACAAGTTCTCCTGAAATAACAAAAGAAATAACATTTCGGTTATTTGCATAGAAAACTTCGTATTCTATGAATATCTTTGCGCATTTACCTTTGGCTAAAGGTAACTCAAGGTTTGTTTGAGCAATGAAATTGAATTTGGCTCGTGCCTGACCTTCGTAGGGTTTCTTTGGTGTCGTTCGCACGCCATCGAATGGTAAAATCTATGGTAAAAAGGAATTGCATTTTATTTTTTAATATAAGATTCACTAAAAATTTCGATTTTGATAGAAATCAGGAAGTGATCTGAAAATTTTGATGGATAATGTATAACAAGAAATCGCTAATAATGTTAACAATTTCAGAATAAAATTACCTCGACGTAGTTCGATGGAAACAAGCCGATCATCGCGTTATGTTCACCCTCGTACCAGTTCTTGTCTACCTGGCGACGCACGAATATTATGTCCCCACGACGGAAATTCAATTCCCGTGAAGATTGCCCGATAAAGTTGTAAAGTGCTCTTGCCACGAGTCTCGGTTCCGGTGTTTGCTCTTGAGATCTGCTTCTGTGGCTCAAGTCGTCGACGAAATCATCGTACCGATTTAGAGGGATCGGTGATTTTTGAGATGGTCTGAAACCAACAATCGTACGATATAAGAATACAAATATGCCATAAGCCATAGTTTATAAAATAAATTTTCATCTAAATTAATGTAAAGCATTAACCCCTCGATGGCAGAACACTGAGATAGTGGAATTTAATGATTAGTATAATTATTTAATTATTAATATAATTAGTAATAGAATTTCAAAAAAAAAAGAGAAGTAATCATTTTGCTCGTATCGCATTTCCATTGAAACATTCATTTCAAATTCCAAACATAAAGAATTACCTGAGAAGTAAGATAATCTTACTCCTTCTAAGGGGCGTTCCAGTGGTTAATTAAAAACAGTTTAATGATCTCCCTTCTACAATTGAAGGGAAATTAAAACATTTTATTTTCTTGCGTTAACAAGGCTGTATATTCTCTGTTATAAATTATAGATGAATTTGAAGAATTTATTTCGGTTATTAATACTGCAAAGTCGTGCGAAATTCTAGCAATTCTAGTTTCTTTTAAGGTAAATTAAGCTATATTTTAAGGTAAAAAAATTTGTGTTGATAAAGTTTGACGTTTATAAGTACTCGTAGACGGCATGTCTGCAATAGGAAGAGTCAATGGCATGTTACTTGAGCAAGATGACACAAGGTGTATAAGTATCATTCTTCCCGTTACTTAAGTCATTACGCAATGCATCACGTACTCTAAGTTATTTTACGCAGGCGTTGTAATAAAAGCGTAGGTGAGTCACTTGTGAAAAGAAGCATACTTAATGCAAAAACAAAAAAATAAACAAATGTTACTTAATACTTGAATGAATATATAATAAATACTGTATAGACATATGGATTATTTCATTTATTCAAGTTGTGTTAGTTAAAAACTGCTAGTCTATATTAAATAATTATATTAAATAATAATTAATAGCCTATATTAATAATTATTAACAAAGAAGCGTTTAGAAAACATACATTTTTGTATGTTTCAGGGAATGAAACTTACATAAAGTTATCGGTGTGTCTTCGAGAATCGATGTCGTGCAGTTCTTGGAGATATTTGCGACGTCGTTCCTCTTGATAAACGCGTCGCATATTCTCAGCACTTCGACGAGCGAGCTCTTCTTCGCTCAATGGTTCTTTCGCCTCTGTACGCACTGGTGAACGATAGTGAATCGTCACCTCACCCTCCACATAACGTCTCGGTGATTCTACAACAAAGAATCGTCATTATTATTCTTACTCTCGTTGATTTGTTTGCTCAATTCTTTCGATCATAGGAAAAGATTCAACGAAGACGAGAGGTTCTTGGAATATCTTACGAAAGAAGCACTTCTTCACTGAATATCCATTATTATTCAGTTATTTACTGGATTCTATCCATTACGAAACTACGGATCTTTTGTTATTATATAATATTGTCCTTTTTTAGCTGCTTAAAAATATTATTTTATTTCTTATATTTTAAAATATTTTGTTGAATACTTTGCATACTTGAAGGCTAATCTAAGCAAACACTGTAGATAGGCACATAATTATTTTATGTTCATTTTGTTTTTATCTAAATCCCATTAATAGATTTTTATATAGGTGCAATAGTAACTACCTATTTTTTTAATTTTCAGATTAGCTTCTATCAAAATATTGATATAGCATTTATTTATTCACAACTAGGGACTAAAATTAACATTGAGCAGTTATTATGAAATTATTTTTTATTTAAATATATATATCTTGTCATTTTTAATTATTTACCATTTTCATTTGAATTTATTAAAAATTCCTACCTGTTCATAATACATTACTCTTATAATATTCAATATTGATGAAATGAAGTTTTGAACTACTGGTATTGTTAGCTCTCGATTAATATCAGTCCAAAACGTACGTCATCGCTAATGAAATACCCTTTCCCACGTATCAGTATGCATGTATCACGATGACAAATGGAATTAACGTATAAATTATGACTATCGTTGCATTGTACGTGGTGGAGTTCGATAATCAATACCCTTTACGCGTCTTATATACCGGTAATTAATTTTCCTGTCTGCCACGATGCAAATCATTTCAAAATATCACATGTTGTAATACTAATTATCATTTTGTTATTTCAATATAATCTTCTATATTTAAAATGTCTGCTCGTTATGAATAAAAGTCAAGCTAGTATAATAATGAACTATAACATAAGTCATTGTGTTTTTAACGTTAAAATTTGATATACTCGTAACAAAATAATAATAACGTTAAAAATAACGAAATGAAACTTGAAAATACTGAAAAGAATAAACGCAGTCACTCTAAATCATTGACAAATTGGACACCTCGGCATAACCCTTTGAGCACTAAAGAGTTAAAAATATTAAGGCAAAATTTACATATTCATTTTCATTGAACATTAAGCTTCAAAATGATATGGCATAAGTGCTATTTTACAATAATTTTCTGTCATGAAATCGTATTAGACTTCGTACCTTTCGCAATCGCCTATCTGACCTGCAACAACCTGATATTAAAAAGAACCTGAATGAGAAAGGAAACATTTTTAATTGATGTTCAATGTAAATTATATAATGATAATGCACACTCATTTAATCTGTGTTATGTTGAGTAATTAGTGCAAATGAAGCACGCGTAAGTAGATCAACATTCTAGATAACCTCGAACAACGATACGCGATACCGTGTGAGATACACGTCTCTTCTTTCGTAAGTGTTGTCTTACGAAACGTGAGATTTGACGGTCTCGAGCGGTAAATAATCATACGTTTAACTTATACAGTTAAGTGACACGTCATCCTGAATCTAAAGTAGAAAATTCTATAATTGTAAAGTTTATGCAACTTGCATTAACTGAAACAATGCATCGTAAATTTGTTCAATTAAATTGAAGTGATAATGATTTTTAAATGCTCACATTAATTTGCATAATTTTTTAATTTTAATTTTTGCCAAGTTCAAAAACTACTAATATATTTCAAGAATTTCTAGACTATAAAATTTTATAATTGAAATAAAATAAAGATTCCACTTTAAAATAAGAACTTGGCGCACATTATAAAATTTTGTATTTCGTAGCGTTGAATTGCAAAACAAGTATATTAAGTTTCTTGTACCTTTCAAATTTTCCTAGAATTTTTAAATTCAAATAAGCGTCGAAATGATTTGAAATTTCTCAATCATTGAATTGATTGACAATTTACAAGAGAAAGTCTCAAGTGTCCGTCAATAATTACAACCTTCCTTCGCCGGAACAACCTATATATTGACTTAGCTAGTGCAGCTATCGTATTCAAAGAGATCCATACGAGAACACCTCTACATTTCCGATTCGAATTGTTAAAATTATCAGGGCATGCAGAAATTCTACGCCGGAAGAACGGTTTTTTTTATGCGAAAAATCGGATCGCAGATAAGGAACACTGGCTTTACCCATATCGAGGTCGTCGCTTATTTAACTCGCTCAACAGGAAATGTACGGCTTCTTTGCATGTGCAAAAGATCGCAACTGTCTCGGATATAAACTACGTCATTCACTGGTACTGAACATTACTATAGACTGAGATTTGTCAAAGAATTATTTCTACCAATCATAAGCTTCTTACGAATAATATCGTTATATCGTTGCATACTAAATGGCAGATTTCGAAGTCTGACACGAATTGATGACGCAAAAGTACAGCAAAATAAACTTATGATATGTCAATTTGAAGTTTAGAGTTTGAAGAAAATTACCACGTAATCCTTTCATCAATATTTTTAACCCTTTCATTGCTATAGGTGAATATACGTAAGTATATAAATTTTCTGAATTTGAGTATACGGAGAATTTGTTTAAAATAAAAATACCATCTAATAAAATTTCATCGACTTCAACATAGTAATCAATATATTAATGACAATAAAAATAGGTGAAACACACGGGTGTCACTGCTTTTGCATATACCTCTATAATGTTATCAATTGAAATAGTGAAAGCTACAATCTGCCTCTCTGATAACTATTGTAAACACTTAGTTGTCACGAACATTTTCACACGTTTGTTTGCGAACTTTACGGCACGAATGCACCGTCAGGATGCACCGAGATCGCGCGACTGATAAACCGAATGCAACTACTGTCCAGCCTCGACGAACACGAGAGGGAATCGCAGGTTGCGCTTGCGTTCCAGCTGTACTGGCGCGAGCTGGCATTTAGGGCACATCCGGATCTATGCACGTGCTGCGCCAATGGCATTCACGCGTTCCTTCTTCCGGAAATGAAAATAAAATTAACGATGTAGATTCTTAACAGCTAAACGAATCGCTACGTTGTTTATCGCGAATGGTTGTTGTAAGCATTTTACACGATTGGACCAAAACACAGAAGTTGTAACAATCTGGATTATTGCGGATTTTAACATTTTTCAATTAAATTTAAAATATGTAAATTTCGTTTTAATCCGGCGATTACTGTTTCTTTTTAATTTGTAAATTTTGTAAATTATTTTGATCGACTGTTGATTATTTTAACACTATGCCCTAATAGCTTTTTGCACAGACTATTCTGAAAAATCAATACACTGGACTCTTGAATCCTTGCTAAAAATTACTGATATCACAGAAATTCAGATTTAGAGAGATATTAAATTAAAATTAGCAGAATTTTTCATTGTTTGCTATGCAATTTACAGAATCGAATAATATGCAAGGTACATAATGACGATAATACTATGTATAACTTGGTGAAAAATAATCGTATAACAATCCTCCCGGGATCATAAATAAACACCGTGAAGCCTCTACTTTCAGAACCTGTGTTTGTCCTATAATATCTGTGCATTAAGTAGTAGAGGGGAGAACGAGCATAGGTTTTTTTGTCGGAAATTTTGTAAATTCAAATTTCTCTGGAAGAATAAGAAAAATTTTTTCATGCCTGAATCCAATTAATAGGTTTTAAAATTAAAGCTTCTCCTTTAAAATGACGCCTCAGAAAGCGCTGATTACGACTAATTGCACCTTTAATTAAAAAATCATTTCTATCAATTGTCATAAAGTTCTAAATTTTGCATTAATTATTTTCGCGTGGTATACAGTCAGAAATTATCCTCGATTATATGAAGGATATATTTGATTCCAAAAAATATAGCTAGGTATAGAATATGATTGACAATATTAAAGTGTCAGAAACCTCCTATTTCTTCTCTCCTAACAGCGTAACGATTTCGCGAGTGAACGCGTTCCGGAAGAACGCGGACCTGAAAGAGGCGCGTGCAAGAAGAAGAAAAGTAACCGCGATTCTAACGGCACCGTGGGTATTTATAGCAGGAAGGGAATTATTTCAGGAAAATTATGCGCATGTTTACTGACTGTACGGAATCGGCCCGTAAACCAAAGGAAGTGTAGTTCCGGTTCCAGCTTGGAGTCCATTGATCGAATTCACCCGATGATTGGATAGTGGCACCCTCCTCTCAGACTCAGCCACCTGTGAACTCTGCTGAAGATTCATCATAGAACCACTTTTCGTGCTTTTATAATTATTCACTAATTGTGGCGCCTGCAATTCTTCCACCGTTGGTAATTCTGGAACGTCATCTTTTTGCACACGTTTTACATCCGCCGCATCTAAGGAGGAAGCTTCTCCGTTGTCATCGGAAGACTCGTCTTGGACAATCGTTGGCAGCCCTTGAAGAGGACAATCGTAATTTCGAAGCAGAGACACGTCGACCGTGTAATTACTCAGTATCTTTCTCTCCAACGCTTCGACCTCTTCGTATCTTTCATTCACCCGCGACAGATCTAAAGGCGCAGGAACCTTCATCACCTTCACCCTCCGCAGGGTTAAACTCGTCGAATTTTCCTGAGGAGCATGAATTTCATCCGACTGCTCCACGAATTCGATCCTTGGTTCAGAAACACTTAAATTTGGTAAAGATTTGCAGAAATCCCAATTGTTTCGTGCAGTCCATGTGTTTCTATTCTTCACCAAATTCTCATCCTCGTTGACCAACGTCGCGTACGATTTATTCGCTCGGCTGATTGGTTTAAATTCGAGAAAATTTCCCGTCGATCCATAAGCACGTTTCGACAATAATTTGTCATCATTATGTCCACTTTTGTGCCACACGTTTCTCGGCAACTCGTTCAAACGAAGCTGATGATTAATTTCCCTATTATCTACTTGTCTTTTCGAATTCCATCTGTTCGACGAGAATTCTTCAGCATTCGCGC